TTTGTAAACGTAATAAAAAATAAAACGATAGGGGAATCTGAGTTCTGTCCTCCACCGGGTAAGCCTACATACCTCTGTGAGACATGAGCCATATTGGAGCCATCCATACATTCTATTCTATTCGAAGACACGATTGTCGTAGGCAAATTCTCTTGTGTAAACTCAAAGCTACATTGAAATTGTACTTAAATATTTAACCCTTAACTTCTGACCAAATTATTTTATTTGTGGTTTAGCGCTGTCTTCGGCATTTTAGATCTTTCATTTCATTTCATGTCATTGGCCGCTGTGAATTATTTGTTTACTCTCTCTGTGACTACACGGCGATATATGACTTGCGAGATAGATGTCTGTAGAATTTACCATAATACATTAATATTAAATTTAAATGGCATTATTTTTTCTGTTCTTTTATTTTGAAGCGATTTGAATGTTACCGTATTTGATTCGTTACTAATTATTAATAGGCTTATATCATGAATATATTATTTATTTACGGTTTTGTTTTTTTTGTTTTTTTTGTTTTTTTGGTACAATTGAATATTGATATTTTTGGGCTGTGCTGGCATAAGATAAAATAACTATTTTAAATGTTTTAATTGTTTTACAGTTATAAATAATTACTTATCTTTATTTATTTTATGTATAAATTATGATGTTAATATTTATTCGCTTTTTAATTTTGCTTTAAACGAATGTGTGTGCTCGTAATATTTTAACTTTTTTAAATAATTATTTTATTATATATTGATTGTCCTGTGTTTTAATTGTGTGATTTAAACAACGCATTTAATGTAATGTCTGTTTTGTATGTTAACTTGTCTTTACATTTCCTGATGCAATTTGTAGGGCTATATGATATTTTATACTTTTAGTAATAATATTTATGTTGTAATACATGCAATTTCAGCCATTGGCTGCCTTTTGTAGTTTAATTATACCGAAATCATTAAATAAATAAGGCTAAGCAGGAGTAGTAAGATCCACCATTCCCAACTGAATGTGTAGGTTAGAATACTAATAAAACATAAACTACTAGAAACTAATTAGGAATATTTTTATTGCTAATAATGTTATTATCACCATAAAGCTGTATAAACCTCAATTTACCTCTATTTCTCTTTTTAATGTTTGTTAAGTTATTATTATTGTTACTATTATTATTATTACTACTATTCTTATTCCTATTATTATTAGGCCTATTATTATTATTATTTATTATTATTATTTATTATTATTATTATTAGTAGTAGTAGTAGTATTACTGTTATTGTTATTTTCATTGTTGTCAGTAATATTATTATATTTCACTTCAGTTTAACAATTTAGCTAATTAGCAATATTTTTATTGCTAATATTAATGTTATCATTATCACCATAAAGCTGTATAAACGTCAATTTACCTCTATTTCTCTTCCTAATGTTTGTTAAGTTGTTATTAGTATTGTTACAATTATTATTCTTGTTATTATTATTATTATTATTATTATTATTACTGTTATTGTTGTTATTGTTATTGCTATTTTCATTGTTATCAGTACTATCATTATATTTCACTTCAGTTTATCAATTCAGGGCCAAAGCCAAATCGTTTTAGTTATTTAGGCATATTCTTTGTTCATTCGATCAATTATTAATACTGCTATATTAAATCGGGGTCAAACTTCGACCTCAACTGACCCTCATTCACACAATTTTTTTTTCTATTTTAATAATAATAATATTTTTGATAAAAACTTTTTCATATTATAAATTTTTAACAAGTAAAAGAAAAAAGTCACCAGAAACTATTTTATACTAAAAACAAAATTGCAGCTAATAGCTTGTTGATTCTGATATCTCACTTGCAATTAGAAGAGTTCATTTTGCTGGACTTTGCTTTAGAGAAAAAGACCTTCTGGAAACCTTCATACTCTCGTCCGGCGTCTCCTTTGACACCGTTGCCAGAGACGCCGGACTGAGCCTGGGGGCCGGGGATCTCAGTGAAGCACTGAGCGACAGAACGTTCTGGCAGACCGTTTTTAGTACCATCCCAGCTGCGGCAAACGTAATGATATCTTATTCCAAGGTCCAGGGTTCAAAAAATCCATGAGACCACATACTCTGTTTCACAACTAAAAACAACTCCACTTCTAAGAAACTTGGTTAATTGTGTATCACTTTCATCATGTAGGCCTACCTGCGGCTGTGAATGAAATAACAAACGATTCTAATTCTTGGATACGTTTTTATGATGCGGACAATACGTTTTTATAAAAAAGAAAAAGAAAAAAAAAACGCCTTTAAACCCCTATTTATATTTTCACTAGCGGATATGTAATTCCTACCAAAGCTACTATCAAGTGATTTATCAATATTATAATATATTATATTATTATACAATGTATTATATTATATAATATTACTATATTTTATTAATAATAACGACTATTATTATAATAATAAATTTAATAACTGCAATAACAATAACAATGAATAATATATGCGCCTAGTATATAATGATGATGACGATGACGATGATGATGATGACGACATACAACCTGCAATTCAGGCTTTGGTTGATTCATAATATATTTGATACTAATAGGCTGATAAAAAAAAACTAAAAGCCCATATTAATTTCGTGTAAATAAAATGTAAATCCCTACCACCCCTCCCCACCACACTTGCAGTGTCGTGATATGCACTGATGCATTGTTGGCGTGAATGTTACAGAGGCACGATGACTGAACATACAAGAATATTCACCTGGTGGTGATAATAATAGTGTCGGATTATATATCTTTATTGTTTGATTCTGGACGCCTGGCCTAGTGACTTTGTTTTCATCTAAAAGCGTTATTTTTTCAAATTGATTCGATATGCCTATAAATAATTTGTTAAAAAGGTAAGGGAGTGAAAATTCACTTCCCCTTGTTGTCCCAAACGGCTGGTTTGACCCAACTTTCTTCAAGTTTACATTTTCCCCCGACAAAGAAGTAGCTGTGCGATTTGATTTATTGAGTAATGTTCATTACTCGCATAAATAAACTGACCCTTGCATATACCTATTCATAAATGTAAGTGTCAACTTCCATAAATATATTCATGTTTCTGGCTACCGTATCATGTGATCCATGACACAGCAATGAACATAAATGAAACAGTGTTTCGAATACTGTACGGTACTAGATTTAGCAACTCATTACTTACCAAAATTCTGTTGTCTTTCATTCGTTCTATCATTCATCCATACATCCATCCATGTGTTCGTCTGTTCGCTCATTCTTTCACTTAGTAAATCAGACAGTATTTCATCCATCCATCCATCCATCCGTTCGTCCGTCGGTCCGTCCGTCTGTCTGTCTGTCTGTCTGTCCATCCATCCATCCATCCATCCATCCATCCATCCATCCATCCATCCATCCATCCATCCATCCATCCATCCATCCATCCATCCATCCATTCATTCATTCATTTATTCATTCATTTATTCATTCATTCATTCATTCATTCACTCATTCATTCAGTTAGTCAATTAGTCAATAATTCAGTAGTCAGTCGGTTAGTCATTCAGTCAGTCAGTCAGTCAGTCAGTCAGTCAGTCATTCAGTCAGTTAGTCATTCATTCATTCATTCAGTTAGTCAATTAGTCAATAATTCAGTAGTCAGTCGGTTAGTCATTCATTCAGTCAGCCAGTCAGTCATTCATTCATTCATTCAGTCAGTCAGTCAGTCAGTCAGTCAGTCAG